AAATTTTGGTCAATGACATGCGACAAAGTATATGTGAACTGCTGTATGAAAAGTGAATTTACTCTGTAAATCTTCACCCAAATCCTAATAAAAAAATAAATAAATAAATAAAGTGCATTCTAGCTGCACTTCCTCCAAGACAGATTTGTTTGTTCTTCTAGCAGTCCATCGTACATTCAATATCCTTTGCCAACAGCACAATTCAAATGCATCAAAATTCTTCCACCGTCTTCTTTTTTCACTGCTCAGCTCTCCCATTCATACGAAGCTAATGAAAATGGGACCATGTAACTAAGGTGTACAGAAATCTAAGGAGGGAATTGGTCAGTTTTGCATCCCACTAGACTTAAAGAAAGCCAATCGCAGAACACAGACTGGGGCACGGAGGGAGCTGACTACCACCAAGAAGAGCTGGATGCAGAGCACGTCCTTTGGACCAGGGGGGTCCCTGTGCTGGGAACCTCCTAGACCCAAGAGACAGTAAGCTGTAACACCAAAGTCAGCCTAATACAGCAAGAAGCAGTGGTAGAAAAATAGCTGCAGCAGAGGCAGCAGAACCAAGAGACCAACTCAAGACAGTGTAGTGGGCTTCCAGTTGGAATGGAATACCTCCAGCACTTGTCAACTGTCAACAGAACTAAGCCTGCTGACCCACTAAGCTAAGCGCCTTCAGGTAGGAAGCTTGCTGGCTGAGTAGGGTGCCTCTGGGTACTTACCGGGGGAGCTGTGCTTTGTAACATTTGCTTGAGCAGGGCACAGTCCAGGTGGGAGGCCCAAGGGGTAAAGGGTCAGAGAGAGGCCTGCCTGCAAGCACTGCTGAGAAAAGGCCTGACTAAAGAACTGCATCCAGACTGTCTGCTGATCCTCAATTGTAATCTGTTACTTCCATAATAAACCCCATAATCGTGACTACTCTCTTTGAGTTCTATATGGCCCTTATAATAAATTATCTAATCCAAGAGAGAAAAAGAGAGTGCCGTGGGAGGGACAGTTGGTGTCAGAATTGGTAAATTTAGAGAGAAGGCATGTCTGACGTCTGCCTCACAGGAATCAGTCTTCGGCTCATGTTGCTGATGGTGATTCTTATTCTTCGTGATGTCAGAGGAGGTCAGATGTCCTTCCCACATCATTTTTACAGTACTATCACTTATAGCCATTTACTTCAATCAATAACAGAGATAAGAAAGACTGTGGGTTAAATCCAATTCCCTTTCTTTCCTACTCAAAAAAGCAACAAGAATGCAATAGTGAATTAAATTCATTGCTTTATTTACTCTACAAATATTAAACACCTATTGTCTATAGGCATTTTTCTAGGTACTGGGGAGAAAGGAATGCACAAATTAGATTCAATCCCTGTCTTCAAGAAATTCTCATTTGTATAGGAATAACTTTGAATCCAACACAAAATTTTTAAATAATTTACAGACAGTGGCTTGCAAATAGTACCATTAAGTCATTTATAGAGCACAGCACCTCATAGCTAAAGATGATACATAAGAATGTACAAGACCATTTGGCTTCAAACTGCTGACTGAGGATATGGATAAAGAAGCTAGAATACAGCTGCTCTGGTATGGTGGAGAAAATTCTGACTGTGGATTTGAGTTTGGGCCTCAACTCTGCCTCTCAACTGAGTAACGCTGAGCAAGTTATATATGTAGGTTTCAACATTTTAATATATAAAATAGGTTTCCAAATACCAAACCCACTGCTGTTGAATCAAATCTGGCTCATATAGGGACCATACAGGACAGAACAGAACTGCCCCACAGGGTTTCCAAGGCTGTCAATCTTTATAGTAGCAGTCTGCCACATCTTTCTCTCTCAGATGGTGAGTTAAAACCACCAACCTTTTGGCTCACAGTCGAGTGCTTTAATCACTATACCACCAAAGCTCCTTCAAATGGGTTTAACAATACCTAGTTCATATGATTAATAAAACAGTAACCATTTGGGACTATAGTCGCAGGGGACATCAAGTTCAATTGCATAACACACTACACTACACAAAAACATTGTTCCACATCCTACTTTGGTGAGTAGCAGCTGGGATCTTAAAGGCTGCAAGAAGCCATCTAGATGCAACAATGGGTCTCTCCTTGCCCAGAGCAAAGAAGAATGAAGAAAACCAAAGATGCATGGAAACAATTAGTCCAAGCAACTGGTACACCATGTGATCCTCAGCCTGTATGACTATAAGACCAGAAGAACTAGATGGTGCCCGGCTACTACTGTTAACCACTTGGAGATGGATCTATGTAGGAGATCCTGGATAGAGTGGGAGAACAATGTGGACCAAAACTCAAAATTATTTTTTAAAAAAACAGGGGTACCAGGTTTGCTGATCTGATAGAGCCTGATGGAACCACTGAGACTATGGCCCCTAGCTTCCCTTCAGGTCTGGAACTGAACCTATTCCTGTGGCTTCCAGACAAACAAAAGACAGGTATATGAGGTCAACATTTACACTAGGTAGATACATTCTTTGGAGAGATCAATCA